CCCGGCGCAGCCCTCCCGGCGCGGCTCATCCGCCCTCTGTTGCAGGTTCACTCACCCGCTGATGCTGGGCTCCGGCATGCACACCACCGGCATCCCGCACCCCGCCATCGTGCCCCACTCCGGCAAGCAAGAGATGGAGCACTATGACCGAAACATGTAAGTCGGAAGCGCCAGCAAGGTTCAACAGCATTAGTGCCTTAATACCCATTTCGTTTGCCCCTATTAATGCGTGTACCGGGGGGAGGATGGATGAACACTGGGCTCTGCCTGTATCAGGCAACGGCACGTGCCCGAGGTGCAGATCTCAGGCCCCCAACCTGATCATGCCATCAGGTTGGGTTGGAGTCGAGTCTTCTGCTGAGCTTGGTGCCACCAGGCAGCCAGGCTGGAGGGTAGCTCTGATGCTGACAGCTCCTTTTTTGGCCCTGCCAAGGAAACCTCAACCAGAACCAAAGAGAGAGAAGGAAGCCAAGAAGCCCACTATCAAGAAGCCCCTGAACGCTTTCATGTTGTATATGAAAGAAATGCGGGCGAAAGTCATTGCCGAATGCACCCTGAAGGAGAGCGCCGCTATCAACCAGATCTTGGGAAGGAGGGTAAGAGCACACGGGGCTCGCTGCCATCGTCCCAGTGCAGCATCCCCGTCCCTTACAGCCGCTCTTGAGCACGTAACAAGCATCCGCTTCCAAACCGGGTGCTCTTACCCCTCAATCGCGCCGAGTCGGATGTGCCCCGGCGCGGGGCGGCTGCGGTGGGGATGGGCTGGGAGGGCCGAAGGCGGAGGGGACAGCGGGGCCAGGTCTCACTGCCGCGCTTCTCCTTGCAGTGGCACGCGCTGTCCCGGGAGGAGCAGGCCAAGTACTACGAACTGGCTCGCAAGGAACGGCAGCTCCACATGCAGCTCTACCCCGGCTGGTCTGCCAGAGACAACTACGTGAGTGGCTCGGACCCTGTCCCATGGCACAGCCAGAAATGACCCAGGGAGAAGGGGGGAGGGCAGGGGTGCTGACAACTGGTGTTTGCCATTCCTGATGGCACGATAGCTATAAAAATTCACATTTTGGGAGCATTTTGAACATCCTCTTGGCTCATTGCCTATCTATAGCACAAATGTTCTAGCTCCCCAGCTACCACAACCATTTGTTCATGCGTTGTCCCAAGTAAATACAAGCAGAAAGGAAGAGGAACTTTTAAATGATGTGGGCGATCTTTGGAAATACAATTTTATGGAGACCCACTGCTTCGTGCGTCTCGAGCAGCAGCTGAGATGTCGGCTCGGTGGGAGCAGGGAATGGGGCAGAGATACGGGAGGAGAAACTCGGTGGGGGCAGAATGGCTGGGGGGCTGAGTGGGCACCCGCAGCCTGCTCAGCCCCGTCTGCTCTGCGGTACTGCCCTCTTCATCGGCTTGAAATCACGGGGCTGGGTACCACGGGCTCCACAGCCCCGGCCACCTGAGGCCGAGTCCAAGGGCACGCCGCAAGTTTGGGTGGATTTGCTGAATTGCGGGCTGCTGGTGCTCTTCTGCGGGCTTAAAACTAGCACGGGGCGTTTGCCCAAGCCACGCTCACAAAAGCGTAATAATAACGGGAAATAATTGTTATAAAGGCAAAATAGCAAAGTGTAAGCTGCTTTGTGGAGTTGTAGGGCAAACCTCGGTCTCGCAGGCTGTTCAGGACCGATTTTGGACTCTCCATGAGGTTGCATCCCAAGCAGCAGCCCCGTGTATTGCGGGGCACGAAAGTGGCACTTGCAGGATGATAGTCACTGAGCTTCTGTCTATCCCTCAGGGACACCGATCCCACCCTGACCAATCTTCATTTGGGGACCCTGACCAAATCAAGCCTGCCATGTTCAAAGTATTCCAATGCCATTGGAGCAAAGGCAGACAACAGCACTGCTTGCTCTGCGAGCTCAGCCCAGCTCTTTGGCAAACCCGTTGCCCAACCAAGGTTGCTGTTAGGGAAAAAAAAAACAACAACAAACTTTTCCAGACTGAGAAACAAAAAAAAGATCCTCCAAACCAGGCAGTGGCTGCTGAGCAGAGCAGCTGAGCCACGCAACAAATAGCGGTGGTGCTCAGCAATAAAAATGAGCTCGTGCAAACACGCTGAGTGCTGGGATCGCGCCTTCCCATAGCCAGAAGAGCCTTCCCTGCGTTCAAGGGAAAGAAGGGAAGCTCCAGCCTTGGTCTTCCCCAGTTTGGGCTGTAGCAAGGTACATTGCCTCAGCAGTCGATGCCAAACTGATCCCCGAGGCATGAGCAGAGACAAACGTGCGTTTGGTTTTTATAGAGAGATGATTTGACTCTACGTCTAAAATAGTGGCTTTTTGGAGGGGGCAGCGGTGGACTGGCCACACGGGCAAGGCCAGGGCTCCTGGGGAGAAGCGGTGGCAGCTCCTGGCCTGGCTGGTGGGGCGAAGCTGCTTTGCAGCTCATGGTGGTAGGGCCAGCACTTGGGAAGCCTCCAGGTTACTCCATGGAACATTTAAAGGTTACTCTTAAAAAAAAAAATCATTTCCTCTTAGCTATATCAATCACTTCAGCGGCACCATGTTAAATGAGGCTGCATAGGTGCAGCGGTGCCCCAGCGGCACGGGATACACTCCGGGTCTTTTCTAGTGGCTTTTCTCAACTGTTTTGATCTTACACTCCTGACAAAGTCATTAGAGACCTGAAGCAAAGCACGTGTTAAGCCTTCAGATGTCCATCCATCCACTCTAGGGCTCTGCCTTTTGATCTAAGTCTCCGTCATTTCCCTCGCAGCCGCTTGCTTTCCCTGGGAGCCGCACAGCGAGCACCCGTCCAGCCCACCCTGACTCAAGCCCTCCTTCCAGAAAGCCCAAGCACCACCGGGGGCAAGAAAACACCCTTAAATAGACAAAAAAAAAAAAACAAAAAAACCAAAAAACCTAAAAAGCAAAAAAACATAGGGCAGAGGTGATGCAGAGAAAGCAGAGGCTACAGGAAGCCCCCGGCCCACGTTTCCCTGCAGCAGTACAGGTATCTCTGCCTCCTTGCAAGCACAGACCAGGAGCTCAGCACCCATATGCAGCTTTGCAGGGTCAATGCTGGATGCTGCCGGCCTCCGGAGCCACCCTTAGAGAAACCAGGACAGCCCAGCTTCTCTAAGGGCAGCTCTGGAGGCCGGCAGCATCTGGAGAGCATCAGCATCGCTGAGAGCACGGCATCATCTTCCTCCAAGACCAAGCGCATCCCCCACAGAAATCTCAATCCTGTAGCATCCTTCATCTTGGCAAGGACTGGTTCCTTGCTCCGGAAGATTTTTTTCCCCTTCCATAGGTAAGAGGGCTCTGAAGGCGCACGTTGGCTCTCCCAGGACCGGCAAGCAGCTGCTTCGGGTCTTGTGGCCATTGCAAGAGATGCTTTTCTCTCCGGAGCTTGAGCAGGGAGGAGAAAGAGGAGGAGGAGGAGGAGGAGGAGGAATGTAGGTCACTTCTGCAGCACGTGATGCGGATATTGGGCAGGAAATACAGTTGCTCCCACACTGAAGCAGCAGCTTACCGCAGCTCGGAGCTTTCCACCTTCACTCAAACCACAAGAAGTCATATAAAAAGTCACGGGTCAAAGGCAGCCCCGCAAGCTGCCTGCTCCACGCAGGCCAGATTTGCTCCTGCACCCCTCTGCCCTCGTTAATAAGCTCATTAGGAGATGAGAGGAGTTGTTGCGTATTGTGAGCCAGAGGGGCAGTTTGGGGCTAAAACTGGGTTTTCTTGTTAGCGAGGGGAAAAAAACCAACAGAAAAATGAGAGATGGGTCCAGAGCTGCGGAGGCACTGAGGTAGAGGGATAAGTATTACTTAAAAAATAAACTTCTGGGGATCTCCTAAAACTTTCTTTCCCATTGGAAATCAGGGATGCTCCTCCTGGTAACAAGTTACGGGCCAATTCCTGTTCAGGCACAGGGCACCACATTAAAGCGTGTATCGGAAAAAGGGAAGGTGCTAAAATGGGCCAAGTGCTTTTTAGAAACAGAAAGAAGAAGGAGGAATAAGAGTATGCCAGGAGAATCAGCTGTCGATCAGAATCTCGTTTAATTCTATTAATCTAGTTAGATCTATTAATTAAATTATCAATTAATTAATTAAAGCAATAATGGGTGGGATTCCCAGGCAAGACCCATCAGGGTGGGCCGAGGAGGGCTGGCAAGAGTTGGCAGAGATGCTGAGCAGCGCAGGCGCCGGGTTTGTTGTAGTGGGTTTGCATCCACCAACATTTCCTCTTGCGATTTCTCACGCAGCCTGCAGTGCAAAGCAGGGGCTCAGCTGCGTTTGTAGCGTGGTCGTGGGCTCATAAATCCGAGCAGGGGAGCAGCGTGTTGGGAAGAAGGTGCAGCAGATGCCAGGGGTGGCAGCAGGGATGCGGTCGCCGTCTCCTCTGAGTTTCTGTTGCTGTTTCTGTGCACACGCGGATCTCGCGCAGGGTGGGTTTGGGCTGAGTCAAAATGCCTTCGGTGCTGGATCTGGGGGCATGGGAAATGAGGGGTCATTCCTGAGAAAAGGTGCGTGCCCAGAACAAATCTGTGCCGGGTAGAAGGCGGCCGTTAGCATGTGTGCAAACACAAATTGGGGTGGTTGCTTTGAGAGTTCCTCCGGGGTTTCTTCCCGGGAGCATCGGACTGGGCAGCTGGGGAAAGGAAGGGGGTGCCCACGCCGGTAAACCTGAGCAGATCCCCTTGCAGTGGTTCCCAGTTCATCTCTCCCCGGCACGGGCAGAGCTGGCAGCACCCAGGCTGTTAGAGCTGAGCCTTCCCCGACGGCCTCATCCGGCCCCGAAACCCCTGCGCAGCACCCGGGGAGCACGGAATAACGGCCTTTCCTTTGATTCCCCAGGGGAAAAAGAAGAGACGAACACGGGAAAAGCAGCAAGATTCCAACTCAGGTAAACGCCTGCGGCTCGGTGGGTGCCCCTTCGTTTCTGCTCAGAGGGGATAATCCGAAAGCAAAGCTGTTGTCATGTTTTACCGTGTTTTCTTTTGCTCTCCTGAGCTGAAAGAAAGAAATAAGCTTTTTTTTTTTTTTTTTTTTTTTTTAAGACACAGTAAATTAACATTTCAGTCACTGTTTCATAGAGATGTTTGAATTAGAACATGGGTAGTTCGTGAAAACTGAAAATAATAGATTTTGGCAAGTGTGTAACTTCACATTAATTATCACCAAACTTAATCTATTCAAAACATCCAGAGTGAACGTCCCCATCAGCCCATGCGATACCATTAATTAGAGAAAACCCCTCTCAAATCCATCAGTATTGCGTGGGGGACTAAATGCAGTGACAGGATTGAAGATCACCCATGGGGCTAACCCAAATTTGGTTTTCATTTCCAAGGAACCTAGAGTTCAAGCAAAGTCAGACCAAAAACCAGCACCAGTTGCCTCCCTGCACCCCACTGTTTATTAAAAAGGCCCTTCTGGCAGATTCCAGCTGGTGACAGACACATTCCCATCATCCAAGGCTGTTCCTGTGCTGGTTTCTGGAGCATTGCTGCCGTATCGGGAATAAGTAATATCTGTACCACTGCATATTCATTATAAAACATCGAGAGACTGCCCTTGCCCACTGTGGCATCACGTATAGATGAAGTTAGACAGCCTGGTTTTTTTCCCAGGATGTCCATTCTGCGGTTGCCTGTAGACTTACAAAGAGCTTTTCCCACTCTCAAGCCTACCAGTTCGTTACCGCTCATTGCTCTTAATTACTCTGGGATGAAATTAAGTCAGATAGACTGTTGGCTTTCTAAGCAAAACACCAGTTCTGTCTCCCTCCAGAAGTGCTCCTGGGGAGGGTGCTGGCTCAGCCCCTTGCTCTCCTGGCCTTGCACACCCATGCAAAGACCTGGCACACCTGAGTTGGGGACCCCAAGCTGCACATCTGGCTGCATCTGGGCAGTTCAGTTGTTGGTTCGGACACGGGAGTCCAGCTCTGGTGTTATTGCTGTGGCTTACACGTCCGTGCGACCAGAATCCCGCATTAATTCCTTAAGTTCAGATTATCTCATTAATTTAATGAGCCCGCCATTGGATGACCTCTTTGAATTGTCCGTAAAAAGCAATTCCATGATTGCGTCCCAGTAATATCTTCAGTTTGGTTAACGCTGTTGATCTCATTCAGTGTCTAGACTGATAAGGGGAATACAAGCTTTTAGGCTTATACGTAGCGTGTGTGTATATATACGTTCATATACACATATATACGCCTCGTCTGCGTGATACAGAAACAATCATTTTGCCTGTTCGGGATTGAAAAGCAGCTGCTGGTCGTGCACATCAGGAGGCACTGGTGGTGGCTGGCAGAGGGAGTGGGAAGCCAGCGCAGCAACGTGCCGTTCAGATCCCATGTACAGCGCTAGAGAAAAAACGTGACGTGCCTGGCAGCAAGGAGGGCTTCACCCCACTGAGTCCCACCGTTACGCAGCAAAACTGCAACGTTAGGAAAGGCCACGGAGAACAGCTTTTCCCTTAAAACTGGAAGGGGAATGGCGGGAGGCGGAGTAGAATAACCTGGGCCTGGGTCTCCTTGGTGCTAACTCTGCTTTCAGCCTGCTTCTGCAACGTTTCCTCCTCTTCTTTTCCGTGCGCAGTCCGAGCTCGCTGGCAGCCCCGTTTAGTCGCTGCTGGGAAGGCAGGGAGCAGGTAAGGATGCAGACACAGGAGGCAGGCAGCGCCTCTGGGATTTGGCAGCTTTGCCAAACTTAAATTCAAAGAGCTGTGAATTTCCCCGTAATTGCCCATATTTATTTCTCAGAGCTGAGCCCATTTCCCCAACCTCCTTCTTCTCCAGCTGCCAGCAGCGATCACTGATATTTGCCTAACGATCACTTTTTTCCAGGAGAGGTGGTGCCGGCACTGGTCTGTTGCAGAAAAAAAAACTGTAGTCTGTTAGTCGTGTATTAAAGTGGCTAAAATGATGTTGCCTCTTTTCTTCCTCCTGCTCCTCCTCCTCTTTGTGCCTCTGCCTTGCCCATTCTCCGCCACGCATGCTTCTGTGTTCAGATCCTGCCTCTCCTAAGAAATGCAGAGCTCGCTTTGGCCTCAACCAACAAACGGACTGGTGCGGCCCGTGCAGGTGTGTATCGGCATCTCCTCGCTGCTGGGGTGCTCCTGGGCGAGCGGGTTCGGCTCCGTGCGTGCTCCTGCAGCCGTCCCGGCGCCGGCGAGGGCCGCTCCGGCCAGGCGGGGATGGGGCTTTCTCCGGGCATCGTCAGGAGCTGGTGTCTGAGCTGCGAGGGTCAGGCTGAACCCTGGGTTTCTTACCCCGTCCCCAATGTTGGTGTAATGCTGTGCACGTTCCTTGGGTGATGATGAACTTCCCTGGTGGTAAAAGCTTATTTCCAGGGTGGAGACCTCTGCGATGCCATGTGGAGCTTTTTTTCCCCGTTAGAGATTTCCTATTGCATGAACAGCACCCTAGAGCCAGCAGGCAGTAGTTAACATGTTTATTTTTCCTATTTATACTGGGGCTAACCATGTATTTTGAGGTACTTCTTCTCGGCCCTGACGTTTGGCAGGACCCACCATGGAGTGAGACAGTTTGCAAGCACCCTGTGCCTCTGGCTTTAGGGCATGGACACGGCCAGGCGCTGGTAAAGCTTCGGGCATGAGCCCCTGGCTCAGGGGGTCTGCAAATGCAGCCGGGCAGAAAAAGCTGCCGGGGGGCACCTGGGCACGGAATCCTGGAGAGGCTCCAGCCTGGGCAGAGGGCTGCGGTTCATGGCACGCTTTTATACCAATCCGTTGAGGACTCCAGCAAAAGCTGGAAGTGTTGCTTAATGGGCTTACTGCAGCCTAACGTGACGAAAATCACTCAGCCTACCCCAAGCTGAACCCCAGAGCGCAGCCCTGCAGCGTCCCGGCGGTGCTTGGCCCCCGACCTTGCTGGCAGCCCCGTGGCTGAGCCCGGGGGCGAGCTCCCTCCCCGCGTCCTGCGCCTCGGGGTGCTGGGCGGCAGCAAACCTCACCGGTTCCACGCTGGGTGATGGCATCGAGCACCATTTTTTAACTGATTAAGAATCCGGGCAGAGCTCCCTTCATGCCTCGTTGAGACTTTTCCCTTGAACATCCGGGGGGGATATTTGTGACCCCATCACTTGCACAGCAACGCCGCCGAGCTGAGCCCGGTGCCGCAGCGCAGGGCACGGCTCCAGCCCGTGCGGGGCCCTTCCTCCAACCTCACCCTGCCTTCGTTCGAGCTCTCTTCGTTCAGCTTCTCCTCTGCGCTGCTTCCCGATTAACACAGGCTGCTGTGCTCGGAGACCTTAGCATGCTTTTATTTTTTAACCTTTGCCTCTCACACCCTGGTTAGTCCCAGCTCTCCTGCAATTCCCCGTACTAACGTGCTGCTGCCGGCTCGTGGGCTCCTGTCGTACGTGCTCCGGTCACCCGCGGAGAGCAGCTTCCACCGGAGGATTTCCACTCCGCAGGAGAGGTTAACTGGTTAAACTGGGTGGTCCTGCTCTAGAGCTTTCACCCTTCTCCCCCCGACCCTGGCCAAACCGCTCCGGGGTGCTGTAGTTCCCGAAGGGAGAGGGATAAATCCCTGTAGCTGTGTAAGAGCTGCCTCAGCCCATAGCCCACGAGCAAGTTCGGTTTTGGCGATTCTGTAGTGTCAGCCCTGCTTCCCCCCCTGCCCCCCCCATTATTTTCAATTGAACCAACAGATGGATTTGTATCGTCTTGAGCAGGACACTGCAACTCCCCATCCTGCAGCTACTCCCGAGATGTCCGTGGGAAACACGGCTTCTCCGCAGGCATCTCTGCTCGGGGAAATCACAGCCCGTGTAAAATTACCGCCGAGTTAAATATTCAGTTCAGCGGGGCTGTCGTGTTTCATATCGCATTAATTGGGTCACCACGGCTAACGATGACACTGACAGCAGTAATAGCACTTCCCTTGTTCGCATCCAGTGGAAAGTCATGTTTAATACTGGACTAGTTAATACATATTCTAACACTGTCTAGTTTTTCATTAGTAAGATCAAAGAAAGGTGTATGCCCGCATTAGCAAGTTCTCCATTTGATGTGTTTTCCTCAAATGAGACAGCCGAGGCAGGGAGCGGGGCGGGAGGAAGATGTTCTTTTTAGCTGTTAAGGCATTAATACCATCTCCAGCAGAGGAATTGTTCTCTCACTACTATTAAGGTGACATCTTGAGAGCTCTTTTGTTTAAAACTATACTGAGAGGCTCAAGGACCCGTAGCAGGTGACGTGAGGGATCTGTCACACCGAGAGGAGGCAAACCAGCTCCACGCAGCGTGCAAAGACAAGGGGCGACAGCGCGAGGGACTGACTCCGGACAGCCAGGCACGGTCCGAGGAGTCCGGGCGTGTGAGGTGACCACTGGAACTCAGGCTAAAGAGTCCTGGTTTCGATACCAAACAGCAGAATTGCCAAGGGATGTGGAGAAATCGTGCCCAAATCCAGTTACAGCAAGGATGACGCATGCCTTGTGGTTTTGAGACCCCCCCAAATACGTACGAACAAGTGGGGAGCCTGACTGTCTTCTCCGGGGGCGATGAAAGGAGGTTGGGCCCTGCTCCCTAGGCGCTGCTGTCTTTGGCATCTTCCCAGTCCCAGTGGGTTTCTTAACTTGAAAAGTGGGGCTAGGGGAGGAGAGTTGCCACCGACGGGGTGCTTTCCTGTAAAAAAAACCCTTTTTGTGAGTAAATCTTCCCCCGCTGATGCGCTCTGTTTATCACGCTCCACAGAAAGGACGCGTGGAACTGAGCCTGGCACAGCTGCAGATTCATCCAGGTCCTTCTTCTGCCCCGTCTTTCTCTCCGGTGTCTCTCTATGTTGCATTTTGTACCTGCACCTCTGCTTCCAAAGGGAGAGAGGGCAGCAAACATTTCCTGCCCAGGAAAGCCAGGGGTGAGGTGTGAACAGTAGCACTGTCAGGGCTGGTTTTCCCTTAGCTCAGTTAGCAGTTTAAAAGGTGATCTACCCTCCAAAGACCAACAAGCCTTCTGAAGGGCTCAGGACTACTCTAACACCCAGACTCAGACAGTCTCGGACCCCCTCTTCCTCCAGCCGGCCCCAGGCTACGTTCTTCCCTCTTCCTGAGCCTCTGTTGAGCACTTTCAATTTGGCTGTGTCACTGAGTCAGGAATGAACGTAAAGCATTCTGAGATGCAGAGATGGCTGAGGTCAGAGGCTTTCGCTGCAGAAAAGGAGGGCTCGGTAGGTGATGGATGGTGCGCAAGTGCCAGGGAATGGGCCACAGGGGAAGGCACCCTTAGGAGTTTGGGCTGACTTGTGTTGCCTCAGGAGAAAAGCCAAAAATGGCGCGGAGGGCAGTGTCCTGGCAGCACATGCCCTGGCACTCCTGAGCACGCGATGTCCAAGCGGGCACAGCCCAGGGCCGGACGGTGGCCAGGCTCCTGCCTGCAGGGTGGCCCCATCCCCAGCCTTGAACTCTGAGCACGTTCGCCCCGCTCAGCCCCCCAGAAGTGGAGAAGCCTGGACAGTGGCGTCAGTGCTGGGCGGTGGGAAATGACCTCTGTGGTTTGATTTTTATTATCATTCTTGTTTCTCTTTTTATTACTCGTTTGACTTTTTTCTTATTGTTTTGATTGTTTATTACCATTGTGATGTTTCCTCATTGGTTTGATTTTTTTCTCCTTGATTGATTTTTCTCATTGATTTTTCTCACTGATTTTTCTCATTGATTTTTCTCATTGATTTTTTTCCTCGTTGTTTCGATTTTCGCAACCGGTTGCGTGCCCCCGGCCTGCGCCGGGCGCTGGTTTACGCCTGGCGTGCCACCCTGGGCTCCCCCTTCGTTCACAGACAACTCTCTCCACTGTTCCTAGGAGGAAAAAGAAGTGCATTCGGTACTTACAAGGAGAAGGACGCTGTGCCAGCCCAGTTTCTTCCGATGGAAGTGCTATAGACTCCCCTCCCTCTCCTCTGGACGCACTCCAATGCATCTCCTCTGCTTTCCCTTCAGACAAGCTTGCAGCCCCCGCCGACTCCGCACACAGAGACCAGCCCGACCCCTTCCCCGGCTCCGCTCTCCTCCAAACCGCCGCCTGCTCCTCCAGACTGACCGTCAGGGCCTCTGCTGCGCCCACCGAGTCCCCAGCGTACAGCGTGGCCTCCACGGGGACATAGTCCCGGGCGCCCAGCCGCGCTGGCCGGGACACTGGGCGCCTCCTGCTCTCCCACCTGGTTTCGCTGCCCATTGAGAAGGACAGAGGCCCATCCAAATTCCCCATCTCCCTGTAAAACGTGCAACGTTAGGCAACAGGATGACTTAAGGATGCTGGATAACTCATTTGGTTGTTTTTTTTTTT